TCCACATAAATATAGTCAACTCATCTTTAACAAAGGAGCAAAGGCAATACAAGGGAACAAAGACAGTCCTTTCAACAAATGGTGCTGGAACAACTGAACATCCACATACTGCAAAAACAAACAGACAAACAAACAAACAAATCCAGACAGAGACCTTAATGCCTTCACAAAAATTAACTCAAAATGGATCACAGACCTAAATGTAAAATGCAATACTATAAATCTAGAAGATAACATAGGAAAAAAACTAGACTGCCGTGGATATGTGTAGGAATTACATGAGATATCTCTGTACCTTCCTCTTAACTTTCCTGTGAACCTAAAACCGCTCTAAGAAATGAAGTGTTTAATATAGAATTTTTTTAAAAACTGGGCAGAGATCCAGCTCTAAAACAACACCCTGAGGGAGCTTCTCACCCACTCCCCAGCGAGGGGCAGGGAGGGGAACCTGGTAGAAATATTTTTTAGAAAAACCCATTTAAAGTTTCTGAAAATTGTCCGAAGGGCATACATCAAATAAAGACATATTTATTCAGAAAATTTACTAAATTCCTGTAAGAAAAGTGAAGGTCTGTGGTACTTAGCCGTGACCCACTTCTTCCCTTCCCCCATGTTCAGCAGAAGGGAAACTCCACTGTGGGAGGATATGGCCAAGAACACTGGGATCACAGTCCCTCCAGCTCCCAGTCAAGAGCTATGGTATCTCCTCTAGGAGGAGAAGGCTGCCAGCATTTCTCATCTCCCTACCTCTGTGCAGCAGAGACAACATTTAAGGCTAATGAGGCCAAGAGGTCAGGGACTCCCTTCCTCCACTCAACCATAAGGCAAAGGTGCAGTGGGCTGGGAATACTGGATTCCTGGTCACCTTTCCTCCAGCTACTTCATAGGGTGGACGTTCCATGCGAGGAGAGTCAAGTTGAAGTTGAAAAGACCAGAGGCTACTACCCCACTCAGCACCATGCTCAAAAAGTAGATGGGTCACTCTAGAAGAAGCAAGCCACTGTCACCAACCCCGGGTCCAGAGCAGTGGCTCAAATATGTTGCCCAGGGGAGAGGCATGCCTTAAGAACAGAGAGCTCTGAAGCTGTCCTCAAGTAAACCGACTTGTTTGGAACAGAGTGTGGGGAAGTTCAAGGTTAAGAGTGCTGCCAAAAACAATGGAGATTTTGATGGTAAGCAATTAACAGGAAATGAGTAGCTTGATAAAAGCATCAAGCTCAACCATAGGCCAGCTATGTTGCCAGAGAACCACTGAAAGATACAGTAAGAAATAACCCTCTTGGAGTAAAAACAAAGAAAAGAAAAAGGGAAGATAAAGAATAAGAAAGAAGCCAGATGCAGTGGCTCATGGCTGTAATCCCAGCACTCTGGGAGGCCGAGGCAGGTGAATCCCTTGAGCCCAAGAGTGTTAGACCAACCTGGGCAACATGGCAAAACCCCATCTCTACAAAAAAAATTAATAATGATAATACAAAAATTAGCCAGGCATAGTGGCACCCACCTGTAGTCCCAGCTACTCAGGAGGCTGAGGTGGGAAGATCACCTGAGCACAAGAGGTCAAGGCTTCAGTGAGCTGTGATCATACCACTACACTCCAGCCTAGGTGACAGAAAGACCTTGTCTCAAAAGAGTTAAAAAAAAGAAGAAGAAGAAGAAGAAGAAGAACAGAGAAATATTTTAGATCTCCAGTTAAAAATGGCAAACTGGATACACATTCAATTTTGCTCCCTCCTAAAACCACCAAAATAATTTATTTTTTAAGGCATAAAGCTGAAAGGATGACAAGAGAGGAGACCATTTTGGAAGCTAGGAAGCAGAACAACTTTAGACTTCTCAACAAAACAAGAAAGCTAGACATAATGGGACGAAACCTCCAAAATTATAAAGGAAAATTATTTTTAACCTAAAATTTTATTTTCAGTCTATATTTGATCACATTTGAATAGATCAAGTTAGAATGAAGGTATTTTCAGTTTTGTAAGTTCTCAAAAAATTATTTTCGGTGTACCCATTTCTCAGGAATCTGGGAGATTTACTCTCCCAGAACTGAATAAATAGAGAAAGAGAAATGTCTTTGATGCAGGAAGCAGGAGATCCAACCTAGGACAGAAGTACAGGGAATCCCCAGCATGGTGTTGATGTGAGAATCCAGGACAACAGCTGTGTGTGGTGTCAAGCCCCAGACTGGGGCAGGTTGGAAGGGCCTGAAAAGCCTTTCTCAGGAAGATACAGAATACTTGATACATAGACATTTATTCATAGAAGATTTGATAAATATTTGAGGGTTGGATTAGTGTTAAGTAATAGAAAACCAAGCAAACACACAAACTTTTTTTAAAAAGGCAATTATCTTCAGAGAAGATCAAAAGTTATGCAGGATAGGAAAAGCAATCTGAATTTTTCTACATGGCTCAGCTGCTGTAAATGGTATTTACAGGCACACCTCGGAGATATATTGCAGGTTCTGTTCCAGACCACTGCAATAAAGCAGGTATTACAGTAAAGCAAATCATACGAATTTTTTGTTTCCCAGTGCATATAAAAGTCATGTTTATACTATAAGGTAGCCTATTTAGTGTGTGATACTGTTATGTCTAAAAAAACCTAATGGGCATACCTTAATTTAGAAATCCTTTGTTGCTGAATAATGCTAACGATCATCTGAGCCTTTGCCTTCACAACATAAGACCTAACATTTGGCTTATCTTTGCTCTCACAAGGCCTTCCTCACTGAGCTTAATCATTTCTAGCTTTCAATTTTAAATGAAAGACATGTGACACTTCCTTTCACTTAAACACTTACAGGCCATTGTAAGGACATCAAGTGGCATAATTTCAGTATTTTTGTGTCTCGGGAATAGGGAGACCTAACATGAGAGGGACATGGAGGAATGTCCAGTTGGTGGAGCAGTCAGAACACACAAACAATTATCAATTAAGTTCACCGTCATATGGGTGCAGTTCGTGGCACCCCAAAACAATCACAATAGTAACATCAAAGATCACCATAACCAATATAATAATAATGAAAAAGTTTGAAATGTTGCAAAAGTTACCAAAATGTGACACAGGGACATGAAGTGAGCAAAGGCTATTGAAAAAATGGTGCCAATAGTCTTGCTCGATGCAGGGATGCAACAAATCCTCAATGTGTAAAAGATGCAGGATCCACAAAGAGATGCACAATAAAATTAAGTATACCTATGCATATTACAATATTGTAAATACTGAATATTGATTTAAACAAAACTATAACCAATTTGGATAGAGGAGGAAGAGAGGAAGCATATTTCTGGAACACGCAGTTGGGAAGAAGAAAGCTAAATCTGCACCTTCTATGGTTGGGAGTCAGTAGATTATGCCTGAAACTGAAAAATCAAGAAGTATCAATCCAAGCATGTTATTTAGAGAACTGAGGTAAATGCCTAAAGAATGAGCACAGGTGAAAGTGCTTGCCTCTGAAGAAGAAGACGGGAAGCGTGTGGGACTGCCGATTTTCATACAAGTTTTGAAAAACTATTTGACTCTTTGAAAACTAGGTACATGGTAACCTTAAATAAATTTCATAAATATAAATATGTTTCTATCTCTTCTATATTACTTCACTCATCAGTATTGAGTTTTCAGAGTAACTACTTTATATTGGTATCTAAAAGTTAATTTTCTCTGTCTTAAAGGCTAAATACACAGAAATTCCATTTTTCATAATAATAGCTACCACTACTATGTTCCCAGTATTGTACTAAGCGCTCATATTATTTCCAGTCCCCAGAGCAACCATGCAAAGTAGGTACTGTTTCCATTTTACAGATAAGAAGTTGATGCTCGGCCGGGCGCGGTGGCTCAAGCCTGTAATCCCAGCACTTTGGGAGGCCGAGACGGGCGGATCACGAGGTCAGGAGATCGAGACCATCCCAACATGGGCTAACATGGTGAAACCCCGTCTCCACTAAAAAATACAAAAAACTAGCCGGGCGAGGTGGCGGGCGCCCGTAGTCCCAGCTGCTCGGGAGGCTGAGGCAGGAGAAGGGCGTGAACCCGGGAGGCGGAGCTTGCAGTGAGCTGAGATCCGGCCACTGCACTCCACCCTGGGCGACAGAGCGAGACTCCGTCTCAAAAAAAAAAAAAAAAGAAGTTGATGCTCAAAGAGATTAAATAATTTGCTAGTATGTAGCAGAACTCTCTGATCTCAAAGCCTCTGTTCTTCTTTCCACCTGGATCCCATCACCTCTTTCTAGAGTTTGAGTTTAAAAGAACTAGGGGCAGGGGGAGGGCAATGTAGCAGTTCGAAGAACTCCTCCTTTGGAGGAAGGGCAGGGAAGCAGAAGAGAAACGCTGAAGGATTCAGCAATAGCACTAGGTAGCGGACTCACGTAACCAAGTTTAACCCACAGTTGAAATTTCCAGTTGGTCATGTGAGCAACGGAAGCAATTTTTAAACTCTGGCCAGGAGCCCCAATGCTTACAAAAATAAAAGCTTTGTTCTGCTCTTATTTTGAAATAAAATAGATGTTCCAGCTGCTCCAACATGGGCCTAAATACCCTAGTAAGAACGCTCAGGACACAAAATTTTGTGTCCAGAGAAGCCCAGTCATCATTACAAAACTGATCTCTGAAAGGGGATGGGGGGACAGACGGCATAGCTGCTTCCCAAGAGAATAAGTAGGAGGTGACCTGGGTCCTGACTGCCACATTGGCTGAGAGCTTGGACCAGATGATCCTGAGGGGTTTCTTCTGAATAAAAATCCGGGTTGTGTTTATCTTGCAGTTTAAATCACTGGGAGCTTCGAGAGTTCTTCGGCTACTTCCCTTTCTGGAATTATTGTGTGATATAATCAAGACATTTCCTGGCTCTTTAAATCAGTTGGTTTGCCAGCTACAGTGTGAGTAAAGAGTATGTCATGATGCACAGTAAAAAGTTGTTTACATACCTCATTTCTGAAAAGTCATGGGTCACTGGCAAGTTAGGAAACGAAAGTGAAATCAGCTGATAGTGACATCAGTCAGAACAAATGTACCAAAGTTCAGAGAGCTGTTTACTAGGCACAACTGTGAATGCGAGAGGGCACCAGCTCAGGACTGCATCCTCCTGCCATTTCCCTTCCACTCCTCCTTTCTGGAGTCTGACATTAGAAAGCCAGCGAGAAGGAAGATTCAAATAACCAACCCTAATTTCCTGCTTCTCCTTTTCATTGTTCCTGTGGGCTCTTCACCTGCTTTCTGTAAGTACTGATCCTGCAAGCATCACAGCTTACCCAGACGTCCACTACCTTGTAAGACAATTTTGTTTTCTTCTCAGATATTTCACGTTCTGGCAATCCGCACCGGGGAACTCACTGGTTGTTCCGTATCTCTGACCTTCCCTCCCTCATGTCTGTATAATCTACATAATCTACCCCCTTTACTTTCTGCTGTCCTTCCTTCCACTCTGCAGCATCAACATGTGTAGCTCTGGCCTCAAAGATGATGAAAGTAAGGCCAGTGTAACTGGTTAGAAATGATGCAGGGCTGACTACGCACAGCAGAGTCTTGCACGCAGTGTGTACAAGGACATGGCTGTGGCTGGTGCGACACACTGTTCATCAGAAACAGGCAAACAAAAGCAGGTCACTGACCACCACTAACTAAACCACTATTCAAAGGTAGTTATGAACACATCATAAAACTTTAAAATACACACTGAAAATTAATATCAACAGAAAAACTTGTGTTCTTGCCTCAAAGAATAGGACCTAAGAGATGTTTAGATCTTATATTAGTTATTAGACCAGATTGCTTCTCATGCCCCAATGGAAATCCATGGTGGTATTTTAGTTCTCTTGGTGCATATTTTAAGAGATTTTTTTAAAATGTGGGCTTAGTTTCGCTAATAACTTCCACTATGCTTCTTTGCCTATAAAATCAAAGGTTCCTTTGGAAGAGGGAAAAGATACATATTTCCTTCTTTTCTTCCCTCATGATAACTGAAGAGCATTTTTCAATATCAACTTCCCATACCACCTTCCCCAAAATCTCAGGTCTGAGACTCGGACCATGAGATATTTTTTCAATCTTGCACATATTCCCCTTTCTCAACTTTCTTTCCAGCTTAGTCCCTGCTTTATCTAATTACTAAGGTTGTTTTGTCTGTCTGTTTTATAAATTTATTTTTTTTATAAATGTAGCCCATAATTCTAAAAATATTTTAATGCAAATAGAGAAGAACAATTGCCTGTAATGTGACTACCCAGAGCTACCACAGCTAACATTAACATTTTCAAATACTTCTTTAGTCTCTTTCTCCTATGCCTCTTTATATGGATGTAGGTACACTATGCAGAGTGATTTTATACCTGCTTTTTCTAAAAGATGCATAGTATTTTATCCCTGATACGTCATAGTTGACTTCTAATATTGGACTTTCAACCCGCTTCCCATTTTGTGCTGTGCTGAACATTCCTATGTATAAATTATTAACTGGATTTCTGATTGCTATCTTAGGATACATTTATAAAAGTGGGCCAAAGAGATATGACTGTTTTTAGGGTTTTTAATGTGTATTGCCAATCTGCCTCCCTGAAAGTGTGTACAGATGTTCATATCCACCATCACTGTGTGAGAATGCCAGTTTTACCGCAGACTTTTGGTATCATCAAGTGTTTTTACCTACAGTGTTGACAGGGAAACTCAGGTTATTTTATTTGGCGTATCTTTAAAAAAGTTACAGAATTTTTTTTTCATGTTAGTTAACTACTTTGCATTCTTTGTGAATTATCTCTTCATATTTGTCCATTTTTAATGAGGTTTAATGTTTTTTCACAGTTTGCATAAACATTTTAAACGTTAAGTACATTAGTCATTTCATAGTTGTGATAGGTATTTTCCATATGCTCATTGATTTTTAATTATATTTATGTTGTTTTTGGTGAATAGAAATCTAGATTTTAGAAGAGTTAAACCTGTGCAATTCTTTCTTTGTAGTTTCCATTTGCTCTTAAGTTCCAAATTTTATTTTTCACTCATAAATCAAATATATCCTTTTTTCCAGATCTTTGATTCTTTTTATGGTTTTACCTTTCACTCTTGGATCCATGTGAAATTTATTTTGGTATGTGGAGTGAGATGAGGACCTAAAATAGTTTTATTTCTCTTTTCTAGTTAGCTAATCAATTGCTTCAACATTAGTTAATGAAGAACGCTTTCAGGACGCAAAACAAATGTCTCTTCTGAAGACAGGCTTTCCCCGACCCTATAATCTAGTCATCACTTCCTCCTGCCAGTTTCTCTCCCTCACTCACCCTGTTTATTTCCTTCCCAAAGCTTTTCAAAAAGTATAATGATCTTTTAAAAAATACGTTTGGTGTTTGCCTTCCAAACTAGAGTACAAGCTCAATGAGAGCAGGCACCTGGTTTGTCCTGGCACTGATCCCCAGGGCCTCTGATTCAGGCAGTCATCCAAAATGTTTCACTAATAGAGTTACAAGATGAAATGCTGACCCCATCAGTCGAAGTGGGTGGCAAATTGCCTTTGTAATTGCAGAAGAGAGGGCTGGAGCAGGAAAACTAACCATTGACAGCCAAAGGCAAGGCAATCACTAGTTTCTGGTACTACTGATTCTCAAACACTGAATCTTGTGAATCTTAGCTGCCCATAAACTGGGCAGACTCCTGCCAACAGAAACCAAATGAGATTAGCTGGGCGTGGTGGTGGGAGGCTGAGGCGGGTGAATTGCTTGAACCCAGAAGGCAGAGATTGCAGTGAACCAAGATGGTGCCACTGCACTCCACCCTGGGCGACAGAGCGAGACTCTGTCTCAAACAAACAAATTAGGATGGGTCATTTGTAGACATTTTCTCATTTTTAAGGATCTTCTTCTCCCTCTAAACTTTTTGTAACCTTTGTTCCCACTTGGATTATCTGCTAGTGAGAGCTAATAATCAACAAAACAATTGCACAAATAGCAAGTTAACTAATATTAATGGAATCATTTAAACAGCTATCTCAGTGGCTTGTTAACTGGGTGCCTGGACTCATGCTTCTGACTTTATGTTACAGTCTCATGGTATAGTCCTATTTCGTCTGATAAAGCTGTTTTATTTACATGGAATAATTAAGTAAATCAAAACATCACAGCATTCATAAAAAACTTGGTGGTTGGGATGGCTGTCCACAGAAAATACTGTGAAATCCAGGAGCTGCCACCACCTATATACACTGTTGAAAAACACTGCAGTAGCCCTGTTTTGAAAAAAATTAGAACCTGGACTTCATGTTTCTGTCAAAGGAAAAATGATACATTTCCCTTTCTTCTTCCCTTTTTATTTTTGTGACAGCCACACCCAAACCATGAACACAATGATCTTCAATGTGTTCCACCAGAAATATTTTAGCCAGGACTGGTGGCCTCCGACCAGTAAACCTGCACCCTTGTTCTATGCCCTGGCAAGTTCTGTTGCCCTGGCTTTATTCTGCTAACATTTCCTTCCCAGTTCTCTCTCCATTCAGGCGACACACCCAACCATCTCTACCTGACTCTCCATCAATTCCCGTTTATCCCCCTGAGCTATTGCTTCAGCATCATGACCAGACCAGACACATCGACCCAGTTTGTGTCAGACCCCAAGGCCTCTATATATGAGTGAACTTCCTTCAGTCTCACAACAGCGCATGAAGAACGTGACAACTGACGCATCACAGATGAGGATGTGAGGCTCAGGCTGGCTACGTAACTTGCCAGGATCACATGACTTGTGAGTGGCAGAACAGCGACATGCTCCCAGGTCATCTGGCTCTAAAACCCATGCTCCTTACCACCACACTGTGCTACCTCTCAACAGGGCAGCTGCATCCTGGAGTCATCACAACCAAACATAAATGAGGCCAGCTTCCTAGAGTTCATCTCTGGGAATGAACCCTGGCACTATTTGTCTTCCTAGAATTTCATACTGTCAAGCTGGTAGCCTGGGCTTAACTTCTCTGAGCCTCAGTTTTCTCTCTATAGTAGTAATAATTTAAATAATACTTACCAGGTCATGTTCTAAGTGCCATGCACAAATTACTTCATTTAATTTCCGTAACATCTACAAAATAAGTTATATAATTAGAGCCATTTTACAGATGAGAAATCCAGGCAGAAGGATGTTAAGTAACTAAGATCACACAGCTGGTGAATGGAAGAGCAGGGTCTTGAACCTAGAAGTCATAGCTTCAAGGTCCATGCTCAGAACCAGTATTCCACACTATCTTCACTACATCAAATGGGAACAGTGACAATAATGTCCACACAAGGGTGTTGTGAAGATTAAATGAGTAAATGCATGTAAAGGGCCAGGCCCCCAGTTAGAGGTAAATCCTCAAGGTGATTAACAATGCAGCCTGACAGGCTCCACCATTCACTGGCTGTGCAAACTTGGGCAAGTTATTGACCCTCACTAGGCCTGTTTTCTTCTCTGGAAAATGAAGGTGAAAACAGTAACTCTACCCCACATGGTTATAAGAAATTAATAAGATAATACCTGTTAAGTGCTTAGCACAAAGCCTGGCATATAGTAAATTCTCAAGAGATTTTGAGGTCTGTTTTTAATTATTAATAAGTTCTCACTAAAATTAGATTTCTTCTCAGACACCTTCCACTGATCAAAGAGTCTTATCAAAGCAAGTTCTTCCCTCCCTGGTCCCCTTTGGCCTTCTGAAATCATTATGAAAAGAAAGGCCCTAGGAACCCAATGGCTTACCTGGTTTTTTCTTTTAATATTCTACTCTGCAAAATCTGCAAAGTGTGTAATGTTTAACAGCAGCAAAATTAAAACATGTAAGTTCCATGAGGCAGTCCTCAGGGCCATGATAGCAACTGCTGCTGGTGGTGCCCGGTGGGGAAGGGGCTGCCAAATTATGCATCTGACCAAGGACTAATATCCAGAATCTACAAGGAACACAAACAACTCAACAAGAAAAAACCACCCCATTAAAAAGTGGGCAAAGGACATAAACAGACATTTTCCAAAGGAAGACATACAAGTGGCCAAGAAACATATGAAAAAATGCTCAACACCACTAATCACCAAAGAAATGCAAATTAAAACCACAATGAGCTACCATCTTACACCAGTCATAATGACCATTATTAAAAAGTCTAGGCCAGGCGTGGTGGCTCATGCCTGTAATCTTAGCGCTTTGGGAAGCCAAGGCGGGCAGATCATGAGATCAGGAGATTGAGACCATCCTGCCCAACATGGTGAAACCCCATCTCTACTAAAAATACAAAAATTAGCTGGGCATGGTAGCGCATGCCTATAGTCCCAGCTACTCAGGAGACTGAGGCAGGAGAATCGCTTGAACCTGGGAGGCGGAGGTTGCAGTGAGCTGAGATCACGCCACTGCACTCCAGCCTAGACAACAGAGCAAGACTCCATCTCCAAAAAAAAAAAAAAAAGTCTAAAAACAACAGATATTGTCAACGATGTGGAGAAAAGGGAATGCTTATACATTGTTGGTAGGAATGCAAATTAGTACAACTTTTAGGGAAAACAGTATGGAGATTTCTCAAAGAACTGAAAATGGACTACCATGCAATCCAGCAACCCAGCGTATCATATTTATTGATTTGCATATGTCGAACCATCCTTGCATCCCTGCAATAAATCCCATCTGATCATAGTGTATTACCTTTTTGATGTTCTGTTGAATTGGATTTACTAGTATTTTGTTGAGGATTTTTGCATCTACATTCATCAGGGATATTGGGCTGTGTTTTCATTTTCTGTTGTGTCCTTGTCTGGTTTTTGGTATCAGAGTGACCCCGACCTCAGAGAATGAGTTAGGGAGAATTCCTTCCTCCTTGATTTTTGTAATAGTTTCAGGATTATTCATATTAGTTTTTCTTTGTATGTTTGGTAGAATTTGGCTGTGAATACATCTAGTCTTAAACTTTCTTGGGAGTTTTTTTATTACTGAGTCAATCTCACTACTCATTATTGGTCTGTTTATAAGTTCTGTTTCTTCCTGGTTCAATCTTGGGGGTTTTTGTGTTTCCAGGGATGTATCCATTTCCTCTAGTTTTTCTAGTTTGTGAGCATGTAGTTGTTCATAATAGTTCTTGATGATCTTTTGTATTTCTATGATATCAGTTGTAATGTCTTTTTCACTTCTGATTGTGTTTATTTGGATCTTCTCTCTTCTCGGTTAGTCTAGCTAGTGGTTTATCAATTTTGTTTATCTTTTCAAATAATCAGCTTTTAGTTTCATTGATCCAAAGAACCAATAAATGAACTTTTAGTTTCATCAATCCTTTGTACATTTTTTGTCTCTATTTCATTTACTTCTGCTCTGATCTTTGCTATTTCTTTTCTGCTAACTTTGGATTTGGTTTGTTCCTTTTCTAATTCCTTGAGGTGCAATGTTAGGTTGCTAATTCATGATCTTTCTACTTTTTTGATTTAGGCATTTAATGCTATAAAATTCCCACTAAGCACTTCTTTTGCGGTAACCTGCAGGATTTAGTACTATGGGGTTTTGCATTCATTTCAAAGATGTTTTTAATTTGTCTTAATTTCTTCATTGACTCAGTAATTGTTCAGGAGCATGCTGTTTAATTTCCATGTATCCATATAGTTTCCAAAGTTCCTCTTGGTATTGATTTCTAGTTTTATCCCACTGTGGTCTGAGAAGATACTTGATATAATTTCAATTTTTAAAAAGTTTGTTAAAACTTCTTTTGTGACCTTACATGTGATCTATCTTGGAGAATGTTGCATGTGCTGACAAAAATAATGTATATTCTGTAGTTGTTGGGTAGAATGTTTTATAAGTCCATTTGGTCTAAAGTTCAATTTAAATACAATGTTTCTTTGTTAATTTTCTGTCCCAATGATCTGTCAAGTGTTGTGAGTGGAGTGTTAAAGTCCCCTACAATTATCGTATTGCTGTCTACCTCTTTCTTTAGTGATATTTGTTTTGTGAATCTGGGTGCTTAAATGTTGGGTACGTATATATTTAGGACTGTTATATCCTCTTGCTGAATTTATCCCTACATCGTTACACAATGACCTTCTTTATCTTTTTTTTCTTACTACTTTTAATTTAAAGTCATCTGTTTTATCAGACATAAGTATAGCTATGCCTGCTTGCTTTTGGTTTCTAATTACATGGAATATCTTTCTGCACCCCTTTGTTTTCAGTCTATATGTCTTTATGGGTAAGGTTAGTTTCTTGTAAGCAACATGTAGTTGGATCATGTTTTTTAATCCATTCTGCCAATCTTTATCTTTTAAGTGGAGCATTTAATCCATTTACATTCAAGGTTAATATGGATCTGTGAGACTTTGTTTCTGTTATATTATTGTTTTCAAGTTGTTTTATAAATTATTTGTCTTTGCCTTTTTGACTTTGTATTTTGATGAAATTCTGTCATGTTGCCATTTGATTCCTTTCTCTTCCTTTGTATGATTGTTTTATACAAACTATGAGTTTTATATTTCTGTATGTTTTTGTGATGGTGAATATCAACCTTTTGGCTGGGCATAGTGGTTCATGCCTTTAATCCCAGTGCTTTGGGATGCTAGGCAGGGGGATTAATTGATGCCAGGCAGGGGGATTAATTGATGTCAGGAGGTCAAGAACAACCTGTGCAAAATAGCAAGATCCTGTCTCTACAAAAAAATTAAAAATTAACCGGGCATGGTGACACGTGTCTGTAGTTCTAGCTACTCAAAAGGCTGAGGCAGGAAGACTGCTTGAGCCCAGGAGGTCAAGGCTGCAGTGAACTATGATTGCACTACTGCATTCCACGTTGAGTGACAAAGCAAGACCCTGCATCAAAAATAATTAAAAACACCATTCATTTCAATGTTTAAGACCCTTTTGAGCATTTCCTGTAGTACCAGTCTAGTGGTGACAAATTCCCTCAGCATTTGCTTGTATGGGAAGGACTTTATTTCTCCTTTCATAAAGCTTATTCTGGCAGGATACAAAATTCTTGGCTGACAGACACTTTGTTTTTTTTTGTTTTTTTGGGTTTTTTTCTTTAGCACTTTGAAAATGCCATCCCCTTGTCTTCTGGCATGTAAGGATTCTGCTGAAAAGTCCTCAATTAGTCTGATGTGATTTGGGATTTCCTTTATAGGTGACTAGTCACTTTTGCTGATTTTAAAATTCTTTCTTTCACTTGACTTCAGACATTTTGAATATGCCACGGTGAGGTCCTTTTGCAGTGTATTTTCCTGGGGATCACTGGGCCTCCTGTATCTGGATGTCTATTTCTTTAAATATGTTTTCCAAACCTTCTAATCTCTCTTCCCCTTCGGAAATACCAATAATTCATAAGTTCAGTTACTTCTTGTAGTCCCAGAAATCTCAAAGGCTTTATTCATTCTTTTTTTATCCTTTTTTCCTCATTTTTGTCTGACTGGATTATTTCAAAAGTCCTATCTTCGAGTTCTGAGATTGTTTCTTCTGCTTGGTGTAGTCTACTATTGAAGTTTTTGAGCATATAATGTATTTCCTTCAATGAATTTTTTAATTCCAGAATTTCTGCTTGTTTTTATTTAAGATGTCTATCTCCTTGATAAATTTCTCATTTATATCCTGGATTAATTTTCCGATTTCTTTGTGTTAGTTTTCAGATTTCTCTTGTACCTCATTGAGCTTCTTTAAAATCAATATTTTGAATTCTTTATGTGGCATTTTGAAGAATTCTCTTTGATTGGGATCTGCTGCTGCTGGACAGTTGTTGTGGTCCTTTGATGATTGTTAT